TCAGTAGATTTATCTCGAAATCGGCTAACAAGGCCATGCTGCTTTTTCACACACTAAACGGTTTTATCGAGAAAAGAAACTTTCAATGGACGACGGCAGCAGAGTCAACACTCCAGAAGATCAACAAAGCATTGCACAAGTTACCCACACTGGCTAGCCCTCTCCCAGGCGAGATAATGCAGGTATATCTCTCGACCTTAAATGAGGCTATATCCTCCGTGTTGGTTGTGGAAAGGGAGGGAGAGCATAAGCTGATGTATTTCGTCATCCGAGCGCTGCAAGGCCCCGAAGTCAACTATCCCACTCTAGAGTAGTTGCTGTTAGCGCTCATTTACGCTACACGGCAGTTGAGATGTTACTTTCAGGTGCACCAGATCGAGGACCTAATGAACTACCCAATTAAACAGATACTACTCAAGCCAGAACCATCAGGCCGACTCGCGAAGTGGGCAGTTGAATTAAGATAGCACGACATAAATTATCACCCGAGGATGAGCATTAAAGAGAAAGAGTTGGCATATTTCTTGCTCTAAATCCTCGACGGGGGAAACATAATTAAAGAAGGAATCCTAGCAGTGAAAGAAATTCCGAAAAACAACTGGAGATGGATATTGTATACCGACGGGCCATCTAGCAAAGAGGGCTCCGGGCAGGCCTAGTATTGACTAGCCCGGAGGTAGAAGAGGTCACATACGCGCTTGGTTTTGATTTCCGCACCTCAAACAATGAGGTGAAGTATGAAGCACTGCTCGTTGGGTTGTGCCTGGCGAACCAGATAGGGGAAGAGGCTGTATCGGCGTTGACGGACTCAAGGCTGACCGCCAACCAGATTAACAGGAGCTTTGAGGCAAGCGACAAAAGAATGGAGAGGTATGTCAAAATAGTGCAACATCTCACCAAATCTTTCAAGGAGTTCATAATCAAGCAAATCTCGAGAAGTGAGAACAGGAGGGCGGACACCTTAAGCAAGTTTGTGTCAACATGCTTTAATCACTTGTCAAAGAAAGTTTTGGTTGAAGTGCTCAAGGAAAGCATAGATGAGAGACGAGTAAACATCCCCACAATAGCCGGACCCACATGGATGACCCCACTGATCGAATACTCACAACAAGGCATCCTGCCTGATAACCATGACGAAGCCAGAAAGATACGCGTAAAGGCACCCTCATACGCGCTGATAAATGGAGAGCTATATTGGAAGGGGTTCACAACACCGTGGCTAAGGTGTGTAGACGAATCCAAAGGTAAAGAAGCCCTCCAGGAAGCACATGTGGGCTAGGAGAGTGCACACGAGGGTGCATGCGCCTTAACAAGGTGCTCCGGATGGGGATCTATTGACCCACCGCGTACCAGGACGTGGTAGAGCTCCTAAGGAAGTGTGGGGAGTGCCAAGTATTTTCCCCAATCCATGCGAACCCACCGGCACCCTTGTCCAATATATCTAGCCCCTGTTCATTTTATCAATGGGGGATATACATTGTGGTTGCTGTGGATTATTTCATGAAATGGATCGAAGCGGAACCGTTGGTGTGCATATCAGAAGACAGATGATCAAATTTGTCTGGAAAAACATCATGACTAGATTTGGCACGCCAGGAAGCTTTTCAGTGATAATGGGCTACAATTCGCTGAGAACCCGTTCAAGGAATGGTGTGCCAGCAAGGGAATAAACCAACGATTCACATCAGTAGCACATCCACAGGCGAATGAGCAGACAGAAGTGTCCAACCGAACCATCGTAAATGGGATCAAGAAACGGTTAGGGAAGGCTAAAGAAAAATGGGCTGAGGAGATACCGGCAGTGCTATGGTCATACAAAACCACCCCACGAATAAGCACACGGGAAACTCCATTCAGCTTGATGTATGGAATAGAGACGATGCTCCCAATGGAAGTAACAATAGGCACATTGAGGACAATTCATACAGACGAAAAATCCAACTCTCATGACCTGAGGATGAATTTAGATATCCTCGAGGAACGGTATGAGAAGTCAAATATACGCCAGGCCGCTTACAAATGCGCGGTGGAAAGATATTACAATCAAAGGGTTAATAAGAAAGCATTCCAAGTGGGGGAGTATGTGCTAAGAAGAAACAAGGAAAGTCGAGCTCACCCACAGGGAAAGCTGGGTCCCGTGTGCAAAGTCCCATATAGGGTCGTTAAAGCAAATCGAAACGGGGCATACGCCCTAGAAACAATCGAGGGGAGGCAAAAACCAAGAACTGGGAACGCAAGAAACTTAAGAAAAATTAGTTTCTAAAGAGAACCTCTTTTCCAGAGGAGTGAAGCCGGGAAACCGATACGCCTCACCAAACAAGCCCCGCTTAGTGTCGGGGGCGATATTTTAAATGTTCAGCACCTAGCGAGCCTTGCGCTTGTAGTGTTTAATATATAGTGAAGGCTTTTCCATCTGACGAGTTGAAAACTTTGTGCTTAGTGTACCAAGTCTAAATACTTAGTGTATTGAATTTCGTACTTAGCATACCTAATACTTAGCATATTAAATTTTGTATACATAATCAAATGCTTAGCGCATAACACATAAAACTTAGTGTATTAAGTTTCATGCTCAACGTATACAATCAAATTCTTAGTTCATAGACTCCTAATACTTAGTGTATTAAATTTCATGCTCAGCGTATACAATCAAATGCTTAGTCCATCGACTCCTAATACTTAGTGTATTAAATTTCATGCTCAACGTATAATCAAATGCTTAGCGTATCGACTCCTAATACTTAGTGCATAAAACTTCATGAATCAACACATACAATCAAGTCCTCAACAAACACATAGCAATGATTTGGCGTAAAAAGCCCAACATTATATAGAGAAATATCACCAACAAAACGTTGCAATCAAACTAAAATTAGTGCTACATCAGAGTCCAGAAACCAAAATATCAAAAACATAGAAACAAACAACAAACAGAAAGTCTTCACACCCCGGGAGGGGTAGCACACGATGCCTTGCGATCATAGACACCAACTTTCCCACCATCACTCTCATCGCCACCGCCAGCTTTCTCAAGACCGTCACTCATGGCACCAGCTATTTCACCACCCTCAACAACAACCACATCATCACTAATGTCCTTGATATCAACATCAATATTGCTACCCACACCACCACCAGCACCTTTAAGAACAAGACCATCGCCACCAACAACAGCGTAAGGGATATCCTCACCAACAATAGGAGTAATATTATCATCACCTACCATACCTTCAGGCGTGGATTCAGAACCGGAAAAGATGCAAAGCTCGCGAATCCCACGGATGTCCAAATCTCCTAACCCCAAGAGTGAAATGTAATCCATGCTAGGGAATGATAAAAGAGCCTCATTCACACTCACAACAGGGCCAGAGGCGGGGGAGCTAATAATAGGATCTTGAAAGCCAGCACTTGCAAGAGCACTATGAACAGACTTTGCTCCACCAACAAAGGCAGAGTGACGAATGAGACTCACGGTGCTTGTAAAGTCTGAGAGTTCAATCAGCCTGTCCACAACTCACACAATGCCCACTTGTAGCAACTAATCCAAATCACATTGTGTGGCATCAACACTCGCTTGTAGGTCAGTGATCACTCGGTCACGATCAGCATCATCACGCTCAAGACTCTCAAATTGGATCATCAAACCTTCATTAACTTCAGAAAGAGAATCAACTTTCACTTCCAAATAAAACTTGAACTCCTTCACAACAGCTTTTTTAGAAACAAGAAGCTAATATTTCTGTACTGAACGCTGGAAATCACCGCTAAGCGCGGAACCATGATGCTCCAATTCAATCACATGAGACCCACACCCAGTATGCGCAACCTCCATCTCACCAAGCAACTGGATGCATCGTGCACCTGCAAAGAGATAAAACATGGCATGTGCGGCAGCGTAAGTCATATTATAGGAAAGGGCAGGGCTGCCCATGTCTTCAATATTTGCAACAACGGTTGGGGGGAAAGCATGTCGGGAGAACTCCACAACATTAGAACGAACAGATAGGCGGGACTCGTTGTGAAGATTCGAAGCGGGAACAAAAAGAGAAGGCCCAAAAGAACCTTTACCAACACCCCTACCTCAGGAAATGGGAGCTTGTCTAGGGTCATTAGGATCCCTTGGAGGTGAGGAGTTGACAGGAACAGAAGAAGCAACTTGAATAGGAACAACGCCCTGTTTAGACGCCCCATTGTCCCCTTCGGACTGTTGAACTTCGTCACCAGGGATCACAACCACGGCCATCAGCGTTGAAGAAATAGAGCTCAGAAGGCGGGAGAAGTTGCGTCTGCTCTGAATCCACTTGGCGATGTTGGGTACGCCGATGACTGTTTCACCCATGGCCCATACGGCTTTCCTCTTAGATTGTATACACCGAACATCAGGGATGATACCATCCTTGTTGTCCTCGTCGACCTCAGCAAAAGTATGGTGAGCACCACCCATCGACATGATGACTGAAATAGGACGAGCGGCCAGAGGGTCCACCACAGCAGGTGATGAATCCTCTCATGTTACTAGGGGAACAGGCATCGTGGTGGTTAAAACAAGCTAACCAAGCCTACGAGGAAGAGGAAGGTGATCGACCAGGTCTACTTGTCGACACTCCAACTTGCCCCGATAGCGTTTTCGCAAGAACCTCATCCATGGATAAGGGGGATTCGACACCTAAAAAAATGAAAACATAAGGAGATGTGCCAGAACACGGAAGCCCCAAAAGGTTAAAACCCTAATCCTAGCAAGCACACACAAGAAGACAATGGGGAAGAAAACACAAGTACTTACCATCGACGAAGACAAAGAAAACCGTCATCTTGCCACAACGCCTCCAGGAAGGGCTCATCCCCACGCCGAACAGTGGAGCTTCAGAATAATCCTTGGTAGATACTTGGACATTCTTCAGGAAATCAACCACACCCTAGTTATAGGGAAAAAGCTTGGGGGTGGTATCAATGAAACTATTAGCACAGTAACGACCACTACCGACCAAGCTCTGGTTCACCTACAACCATCTATCCTGCCAACTTTTGGGTGTTCGTCCATCAGGAACTAGGGTGTGCCCTCCTCTTTGGATAGAAAATGTATACTTATCACCAGTACAACAAAACCTGAAGAAGTACTTGAACATGAAATAATCGGGGAGATAACCGTTGGGCTGGCAAATCATTTCGAACGCCACAACTTTGTTGACAGCATTCGGAGTCAGCATTTGAATACTACAACCATCATTTTGAAGAACCTCCTCCTGGAAGTCGGTCAACGGAAGACGAAGACCAGCATCTAGGGTTTTTTGATAAACCACAACTTTTCTAGGAGGGGGACGTGATGGAAGAACCGGCCAACGGGAACTCCACACCGTCCAAAGAAAAGAGGCCATAGGTGCTCTCAAGTTGTTGATACTCAGTGGAAGAAGGAACAATTCCTGGGGGACTCGCCATAAGAGAAAAGAGAGGAAAACAAACTTGGAGAAGAAGAACAACAAAGGAAAGAAAGTGTAAATGAGAAAGTATAATAAACTCCCTTATAAGAGAACAGAAAGGGTGCAATATTCAAAATATCTAACACGTCAGGCGACAAGGTAAATGTTCAGAGCATTACCACCGGAGCCAATGACAGCGCTCTGAAAGAAAGAGGAACACAATCCTCCAATCAGCGCCCCTGACCTTGTCCACCAAAAAGCGATCATGTCTCGTACGGACGAGCAAGGTCGCTAAGTATAAAAGGGCATGAACACGATCTCGAAGGGTAAGCAATCTTCTCCCATCAATTCCCATACAAACCCTAAATCCTGCCTAACATGACTGTCGGAGCGTCTTTCCGGGAGCCGCCTCCCAGGAAACGGCTGACGGCGTTTCTTTCTTGTGATCTTGCAGAATCAATTAAAGAGCTCGGAGAGGACGCGAAGCAAGGTCGCATCACACAGCATATATTACAAGTAGATAAGTCCATTAATGATTATTTCTAAAGAAAGTGTTATACATAATTTAACTAAAACGGTATATAAAACGGAATTATTATGACAAAAAAAACGCATGTCATAAAACTACAGTCGTGAATTTACACTAGTAATATTATTTTCATTATTCAATAATGGGAGTCCAAGTTCGCGTAAATTTGTTAAGTCACTTGTGAGACTTTCCTTCGCCGTACCTACCTAGCGTACACTGTAAGTTCTATAGTTATAACCAGAGTCTCCTCGAGGGAGAGCGAGGTATTTGTGTATAGATCCATATGGGGTTGACACCTCCACACATGAGTTGTTCGCTACAGCTAGACTAGGCCAGTCTAGGGTGACAAATATCTTATCGAAACCGACGCCTGAAGAACGTCATGACAAGCATTTTAGTCGCATCAAGCATGGTTGTAACGACTCATATAGGGATTAACTAATGTTATTTTAGATTTAAGAAATTATACACTTCACTAGTTTTATAAAATATAAAACTATGCTTCACTTTTGTATTTTATTATCACCACTAAAGTCTTAGGGTTTTTAAGAATACAACTTTTCATAGAACAGGAAATATGGGATTTTCTAGGAACATACAGTCTTTTTACTTACAAACAAAAGAAAACAAAGGACACACATGTGATCATTTACAGTTTTGGAACGAGACTTACAAACCATGTTTCACATAAAATATCATATTTTCTGGAGTTTTACAAATTATTACAAATCAAAGGTGTTACAATATTGTTATACAAATATGCTTATGAACTCACCAACTTTTTAGTTGACACTTTTAAAAACAAATTTTATTCTCAGGGACTCGGTGAGCTGGTATTCGGGCTTTGGATTCTGGATATTTACTACATTTTGGAACATCATATTTTTTGTCACTTATGTGTAAATTTGTGAACAAACACAATTTGTAAACAATGTTTGTTGGTATCTTTAATGTATAATGTTGGTTGCTATGTTTTCAATTATATTCAATTGTGATGATACAATACAAAGAAGTCATCCACCCCCGGATGTTTCCGCCGTCCTGGTTCGGTCTGACAGATTGGTATCAGAGCATTGTTTATAGTGAACTAGTATATCTATCCATACAAGATATCCAACTATAAATACAATAGGACTAAAACACTCTGACTAAAAGTATACTTTAAAATTATAAATATTTTACCAAAGTATACATACATACATGCATATTAGAAAACAATAAGAAGATTTGGACACCGTGACTAAACTTAGACAGCTATGTAATCATATCTAGGGTAAATATAGCCTTATCAACTATATTTATTCGAGATATGACCAACATGTGTCTAGGAGTGGTCAAGTTGGACAACAAATCTAAAACCCATCAACTTTAAATCAAAAGGGTCTAAGAACAAAACTAAAAAACATAAAATACTATACGGGTATTTTAACATTCTATCTATTTTCTTGTACTTATATATTCTCATGTAGACACTATAGCTGGCTTCCACCACCATAGGGAGGAATACTTCCCCAATCAGGGGAATGGGGGTTAGATTGAGGAGGATCCCGAAGAGGATCCCGAAGAGATAGAGGATAAGTTTGAGGAGGATGAGCTCGATGAGGATATCGACGAGGACTATGAGGGAGATAAGGGTGACTCAGATGCAAAGTTTGAAGTCATCAATCCACCCTACATGGCGAGGGTGTCGGTGCACCGAATGGGCTATAATGGCCCTACACCCCCTTGGGCACTTGATATTAAGAGGTGGAGCCGACATCAGGGCCATCTCCTACCATTCGGCATGGAGCGAGGTTTCTACAACCTCCAACATGGAGGCCCGCTGGATATCTTCCCGTTATGGTTCGATGGACTAGGGACATTGCGATCAGGCACAGGTGACCGCTAACCGGATGATCAAGACGAGATTTGCGGTGGAGCGTGCGTAGAAACGTACTCAGGACCTCGTGAGGGAATATCAGGAGCGGTAGGTTGTACTGGAGGTGAGGGTGCGAGTCTCGAAGTGACGACTAGCCGAGCTTCAGGGCGATTCTACCTCATCACAGGTACCACCAGGGACCACTCGTCGTGAGTAGGGCTTATCCTAGCCACTGCTTTGCTGTAGATTTGGTTATGGATATGTGTTGATGCTACCCCCCCCCCCCGTTTTTTTCTTATTTGTGTATGTAGGATTGACCCTACGTTTAAGTGATAACACTACTTGCAGGGTCGTTATGCTATCAGATTTTATCCTCGATGTACTGTAGACCTTTTAAAAGGTCAATTTTCATGCATTACGCACTAAACGTTGTTATTAATGAGACAATTATGTGTTTTATTTGTGATGTTGTTATCTGCTATGTTCTCTCTTTTCATTTCTATTTGATATAATACGGTTTCAATTATAAGTACAATCGAACCACCATAATCGTTAGAAACAAAGGGTTTCCATGAACTCATCATCATTCCTAATTCATTGTAGGAAATGCCCAAAAGGTACATTCGCAAAAACACTACAAAAACACCACCACCGCCGCTGCCTCCACCAGAAATGGATTTTGCTGCTTTCCAGGAGGCAGTATCAGCTGCAGTCACTACAGCACTAGCACGCATCAATAATGACGCAAATAGAGGAGGAAACGGGAATGGGACGGAAAGTTCCAATAACGGAGATAATCAAGGACAACAGAAAACATTCACATATAAGGACTTCACCAACGTAAAGCCAAGACGATTTAATGGAAGCGGTAGTGTGATAGCTCTCACTCGATGGTTCGAAAAGATCGAATCTGTCTTTGAAATCTGCGGTTGTCCTGAAGAGAGTAAAGTGAAGTTAACAGCTTGTACATTTTCTGAATGAGAACTCTCATGGTGGAATGGCCATGTCAAGGATCTAACTCTACCGGTAGCAAACTCCATGTCATGAGGGAACTCAAAAACCTGATGCTCGATGAGTATTGCCCCAGAGGTGTAGTGCAAAAGCTTCAACAAGAACTATGGAATCTCACCGTAAAAGATTTCGATAGAGGTTCAGCAACCTGGCACTCTTGTACCCGGGGATGATTACTTCTGAGAGCTAGAAAGTCGAAAGGTTCATCAGGGGACTAACTCCCCAATTCAGGGAAATGTGATTGTTGCTAACCCATTAACCTTCGATATTGCCAAACGCCTGGCGCAAAAGCTTTACGACCATGGAGAACCAAAGGGAACGAAGGTTGTTTCCCCTAAATCAAAGAAGGGGGATGACAACAAGAAAAACTGGGGAAAGAAGAGAAAGGGACAACAAGATCAATAGTCTCGGAAGGAACAACAAATCGTAGCAGTTCACGGAGCTACCATTCCTACTACAACAACAACAACTACACCAACACCTGCAAAGCCATATCTAGGCTCTCTTCCAAAATTTGATAAGTGTAATTTCCACCATAAATGTATGTGCCGAGACCTACAATGCACCAATTGTAACCGAAGAGGGCAGACCGTCCGATATTGTAGAGCACAACCTCAACATAACAACCATGCCAACAACGTTGGGGCCAATCAATTATGTGACGGGTGCGGGGAGACTGGCCATTACAAACGAAATTGTCCCAAGGCCAACAATCGGGGTACAGGGAGATCAAGCAGATTCCTAGCAATGGGACAAGGGGAGGATGTACAGGATTCAGCGGTATTCACCGGTACATTGCTCCTCAACAACATCTATGCATTCATCTTATTTGATAGTGGGGCGGAACGAAGTTTCTTGATTCATAAATTTAAACACTTACTAAATCAAAGTTCCCAAAAGTTAAATGAAACCTTCATGGTGGAAATGGCTAATGGGAAAATAGAAACAACCAACGGCATATTCATAGGATGCACGTTAACATTAAATAAACACTCATTTCAAATTAACTTAATGTCGGTTACTATTAGAAGCTTTTATGTGATCATCGGTATGGATTGGTTAAGCCTCCACCAAACTGATATTATGTGTTGCGAGAAGGCCGTTCGCCTTCACCTACCCAACGATGAAACCCTAATTATATACGGTGATAAACCCAGTGCAAACCTCCGTCTCATCTCGTGCATCAAGGCACAAAAGTGCTTGCAAAAAAAGAACCAAGCCTTTCTAGCCCACGTGGTAGATAAAAACAAGGAAGAGAAGAACATCAAGGACATCTCAGAGGTGTGTGATTTCCCAGACATATTTATTGAAGACCTCCCGGGAATACCCCCTGAACGACAGGTCGAATTTCGGATTGACCTAATACCCAGAGCCATGCCAATTAACAAATCACTGTATAGATTAGCCCTTGCAGAAATGCAAGAGCTCTCCAGCTAATTGAGAAAATTATTAGACAAAGGGTTCATAATACCAAGTTGTTCTCATTGGGGAGCTCCAGTTTTATTTTTCATAAAGAAAGATGTTCCTTTCGCATGTGTATCGATTACCGTTAACTCAACA